AAGATATTCGTAGTCAAATGAAAAGAGTTAAGAGTCAAAAGGTACGGCATTTTTTGAATGAGAGCTGCAAAAATCACTGTCAAAGTTGTCTGCTAGCTTTTGACAGAACTGGAGTATAGGCGTTAGGAGGCTACCGTTAACTAGTTTTGGACTAAAATTGGGTAAAGTGCTCTCCAATAAAGGTGACTCCTATTAGGAGGAAAAGGAAAAGGTCTCCGAAACTCCATCGGCATGGGCGGATCTAGGTGAGGTTCATTAGCTTTTCTGTATATCTTATATTTGTACTAGAAAATTAAATAATAAAATAATAACTCGTGAACTCTTAAAAAAAAACTGATTGACTATTCAATGATTCGAAAGAGAGGAAAATTTAGAACCCAAAATTCCTAATACTAACTCCGCCTCTGTAATTACCAAGATCTCGAACCCACAACCCACAACCCTGTTTGGTGTCCAATCAATACTTACCCAGTTGTATTGTATATTGCCCTCTTTATCTCACAGCCAAATGCTTGTTTTAAAAAAAAAAATCAGTGGTAAAGTCTTCATTCTGTCCAACTAGTCTAAACCCTCTAGGATACTTATATATAACTGATATATACAACACTAAAAATATTTTTCTTACATTTTTAGGTCATCCAAAGTTATTTCTAATGGTATAAAAATTCTTTGTATAGCTCGGGTATAGGTGTTCCGTTAATGCAAGCATTATAATACAATATTAAATAATAGCAAGAGGTTTCTATTTGTTTGTCTTATTTTTCTTTTTATTTTATTTTGAAAAAATATTTGTTTCCTTTTTGGCAATTATTTACTTTTAACTTTCTAACTATTAATATATTTTATCTAGAATATAAAATTCAAAAGTCTTCTATATTTTTTTAAATTTCATATAAAATTGAAATTGAATAAACGTATAAAATTAAAATCTAATGAACAAACGGTAGATTTTTGGGTTAAAAATGAAAATATAAGATATAATACTCCCTCAATCCACTTTTAATTGTCGGGAAAATTGTATGAAATAGCAAACTATTAATTCAAATTAAATGTTATAGCCATAGTTTATTTTATTTGTAATTCGCAACAAACATTTCATTTTTTTATCATCTGATTCGGTATACAATTAGTCATTTTATACATTTCGATATAACATGTATAAAAATGTGTTTGTGTTTGTATAAAGCGAGATAAAAGTGTATATATACAAATACAAATACATATATTTTTGTTCTATATACTTATAATAATACAAATACGGATCTTATTATACAAATTACAATGTATAAATGAATTTATACAAAACTGAACAATTTGTATAAACTTGGATGTATCTAGCGAATTATACAAATCAAAAGCTCCATAGCAAACATAAGTTTGCTATGAAGCGCAATTATGCAAACTATAGCTATAACATACAAATATGATTTTTATGTTTGCTATATGTGAAAGTTGCTCTTAATTGTCATGATTTCTTTTTTTTTTAGAGTCAAATGATAAGAACTTTGACTAATATTTTATGATGTAGTTTTCATATATCAATAAATTGCAATTTATAGTATTTTTCGTACATGTTTTGAATGTCTAAATTTTTTATTTAAAATATCGAATTAATGTGATTTAATTTAACTTTAAAAACTATTCAACTCGAAAAGCGCAATATAACAATTAAAAATGAACGGAGGGGAATACAAAAACATGTGTTCTGTTTCTTACACTAGACTAGATAATAATCTTCAATAGGCTTTTATTAAGGGTCAAATTGGCCCCAGAATTATGTGATATGGGACAAATTTGCTTCTCATTAATAATTGAGGCTAATACATACTTTGTCCGTAATTACTTATCAACTTTTAAATTGATACACCTATTAAGAAAATAATGATTGACATAGAGTTTACCATTTTACCCATATTAATTATGATATGGATGAATCAAATACTTAAGAGTTTCAAGAAGCTTTACATTTTTCAAAGTAATTAATTGAGGATATAATAGGTAAAAAAAATGTGTTTTCTTGATTTGTCAAAATGGTCAAATCATTAGGAACAACTAAAAAAAGGAAAAATGGACAAATAATTAAGAACAACTAATTTACCCTGATTCATCACCTAGTGATGTCACGAATACTCCAAAAGGATTAATTTTTTAAAAGTAGAGAGCAAATTTGAACCTTTCGTTTAGCTGATGAGAAGCAAGTTTAAACCTTTTACATATATAGTTCAGGTCAAACCCGACTCTCTCCCTAATTTTAATTTTTTTTGGTTCCTCCTCTCTTTCCCCGTCACTACCTCTATCACCAATCACCCTTTCTTCCTCCTCTCCCTACCACCATTGTCACCATCACTTCCCGTTTTCTTTCTCTCTATCCCCTCCACCCCCACCCCTTACCCTCACCACAAGGAGGAAAATGTGCTAAATGACTTGCACATGCAATGTAAAACACTATTTCAATGCAAATATATAACGGTATAGGAGTCCAAGGAAGAAAGAGTGATTGGCGGCTCTATGAAGATGAATATTTCACATGAAGGAGTGTGCATGTTCCAAGGCAAGAAAGTAGCAATTGGCTTTCAATTGTATGATTTGACTCGAATAGCTAATATCAGAGTAGCAGATATGGTTTTAGCCGAAGTTGTTGTTAAGGTGGAGAGTGATTGGCGACAGAGGTAGTGACACGAAAAAAAAAAAGGAATAAGAAAAGTTTAAAATTCAAAAATAGAGAGAAGGGTCAAATTGCCTTCAAAGTTATGTGAAAGTGTTGAAGAATAGAATAGTTAGTTAAGCAGTCAGCAAATTAGTTAGGAGTTAATTATATTGTTAAGATAAATTAATGCAGATTAATTGCCCGTTGTTAATGAGCTATAAATATTAGCTTAGATTAGCTTTTGATTTTTCTCTATGAATATATATCCAATTCATTGTAATGGTATTCAATTTTTCCAGATAATAGAAAGAAGATATTTTTCTCCCTCTCGTTTGTATGTTCTTAGTTCTCCAATTACTCCATTCTTAAGATTGAAGGAATTTCATCATGGTATCAGAGTGAGGCCCATCTCAATTTGTTGTTCACCGATGATGGCCCCCCATTTAGAAGTGTTCACTCTTCAATTGAGGTTTGGGCGTGCGGGGAGTGTTAAGATGCCCCACATCTGTAGAGGGATGAGAATTTGGTCTCCTTACATGGACTTGGACAAACCTCCCCTCATGAGCTAGCTTTTGGGGTTGAGTTAGGCCCAGGTGTCATATCTTAACAAAAAGTATAAATTTGTCTCATAAAGAAAATGAATCCTTAATTACGGGACATGTGCTATCACCGGATGCTAATCTGACAAATGTCACCCATTTTAGTGCTAATAGCTCAGTCCTATTTCGCCGAGATGCCTTTCAAAAAGATTTTTTCCCGCATCGGAACAAGACAAGACATATTTGACCCCAATTTTACCTTGTGCGCACCCAGAGGGTAGCGATTGCGAGTTTCCCTTGTCATCAAAAAAATTTGTTAAGGAGCAAATTTGACCCCTTCTCCTTTTATTTAACATTGTTTTTCTTAAAAGACTGAGATCTTGAGAGAAGGATTTTGGAAAAAGGATAAACATGTCGAGATTAGTAATTTCAGAATTGTTATTCCATATAGAATGCGGATAAAAAAATTGCTCACACCAGAATGAAAAATTCCCAAACATGAATTAAAATAATCAATAAATTTTATCCTCAAAATAATTTTTCCTTCACTTATTACCAAACGATCCCTACCTACATCTTACTGCATAAAACATCTAGGTAGGGAATCTTCCCACGAACTAATGTTAGATACTTGTGATCATTATGAAGTACAAATTTCAAATTTATGATTGTTAGGAGTGAAAATCATTCCTAGTATGAGCTGTTAACACACATGGGTTTTTTTTCATGGCATTTCATAGTGTAATGTGCTTCCCATCTTATTCAATGTAGTATAATCTTACGAGTGAAGTCTACGGAGGTTATGATGTACATAGATCTTAAGAGATCGAGGTTGTTTTTGATAAATATATATATCTTTTATATAATGTATATACTAAAATTCAATTTGCTACATTTTGAAGGATCGACTCGATTGTGGACCATGATGATCGAGTGAACACTGGATCACTACTTTCAACAGGAACAAACTATGTATTGCAATGACAACATAAATGGAAGATTGTTCTTGATAATATGAGAAGAACAAATGAAGTACTTAATTAGTCCAATCATTCTTGGATGTTGATTCCTCCAGTTTCTCCAGAATACACAAGGTACCATCTTATCTCTTAAGTTTTGTTGAAGCCAAATAATCTAATATGGTTGCTTTTGGTTCTTCCATATATTCCTCCTAGTGGTCAAATTTTGGTGGCCCTAAAATTATATCATAGCCAACTTTTGATGATAAGTATTTTGCTTATTGGTCGAACTCCAAATATCCCTAACAAATTCCACCGGAATCATATCCTACATTCTAGTTCTAATTTAAGACATATATACTAAAAGAACATTGAATTTTAGAAATATATGGAGTTTTTTTAATTTTGTGGTCAAAGATTTGTGTAGTCTTTTAAATCTTGTGATCATTATTGTTGGATGGAATTGAAAAACTTATTTGAAGTTAAGAAGAGACTCTTTTGGGGACAAATCAAAAAGAAAAGTAAGACACCGAAATTGGGAGTTCAGAACCATAGATCCAACTAATTCATTAGGAAAAAGACAATTAAGATGATTTTCATGCTTATAATTAAGCCTCTTTTATGTTAACTGTTAGCCTAAACCCATATACTTCCCATGGATTATCAGTTTAATAAATGTATACGGTGATTGTTCTTGTACTTCAATTACATGAGCTAATATAAATATGCAGATCTCGAATTTAAGTTGTATGAGTTCAACCTTTAGGATTTTTTTAGTATTATGAATTCAGACTTGCTAGTTGTTATTTTATTCGTAATTTTTATACATAAATTTATGTTCGTCATAGAAAGTAGTAAGTTCAGATAATGAAGAGAGAGAGGGGAGAGATTACATGTAATTGTAGAGGTCGAGAGAGATCCAAATTATGTGTTTCAAGTATAGCTGCAAAGGCACAAAATTAAGATTTACAACATTAATTAAGTAAGCATATATAGGAATAGAAATTCAAAAGTATGTTCAAACCACCGACAATTTGTCAATGGAAGTTGAGCAGATTAGAGAACAGTAACTCATCCAATAGAATGGTTGGCCATAATCAGAGCGAATACATAAAATAATACAGTGTACAGATGTTCGTTCGTTGTGACAAAACCTGCACAACAAAAGAAAATAAAAAGAGAGGATAATTATGGGTGAATGATGCTAGGTAGCCCCCATCTTTCCTTTAATAGAAATTGGAAGAATAAGAAAACCTAAAATTGAACAAGTTAGATTTAGGGAGAGGAAGAGAAAAATAGAAGGAAAAGTGGGTGAAAGGGATGACGGAAGCATAGAGAGCACAAATGAAGTGAAATGCTTTTATTTATTGTTGGACTCTCCAGACAGATTTAGCAGCAGCAGCATTTCATCATATGTGCTCTCTATCTTCTGTCAACAATATCACCCACTCCATTTTTCCCTCTTCTTTCTCCTCCTCTGCCGTTTCACACATTCAATTACCCTATAAACAGTGTTAATTAATACAGCAAAAACTTGGAAGAGAAGAAGAAAGAGTGGTTGGTGTTTCATACAGATAGAGGGCAAGTTTTAATTTGGGCTGAGGACATTATTATTTTATAAGTATAATTTGTGGAGGGGCCTATTTATAGAAAGAAAATATGAGACCAAATAAAGAGTAATAGTGATTTATTTAGGGTGGGTGGG